CCCTCTCCCTCTCCCTCTCCCTCTCCCTCTCCCTCTCCCTCTCTCTCTCTCTTAAAATTTAATTTTATGTTTATGGGTGCTTTGCATGTGTATCTGTGGACCATGTGTATGTGGTGCCCAAGGAGGCCAGAAGAAGGCATTGAGACTACAGTTTCAGATGGTAGTGAGCTGCAGTGTGTATTCTGGGATGTGAACTTGGGTCCTTTGGGAGAACAGCCAGTCCTTTTAACCATTGAGCCATTTCTCAAGCCCTCTTCCCCACTCTTTGAGGCAGAGTCTAACTGTAGTCCCAGCTGGCCTAGAACTTGCTGTGTAGATCAGGTAGGGCTGGAACTCAAAATACCCCTGCCTTTGTTTTGCCTCCTGAGTTCTTTATGTAGCATCACAGCTGGCACTGGGTCCTAATATATGTTTTACTTTCATTTTTAGTCTCTAGCAGATGCAATTACAGCCTAGGTAAACAGGATCACAAATAGAGCCCAAGAGGTGTGCATATTTTGAAATATCACATGGAAACTCATAAATAGGCACATTTTTTAAAAAAAATGCATATATACACACATATATATCTTAAAGGCACACCTTAACAAAAAGGAATTCACAAGGTACCACTTCCCACTGTAGGGGTCAGCTAGAATTCCAGCAATAGAACATGAAATGCCAATAAGAAGAAGATTGAACTGGCTTTGTGTTACGAGGTCACATAATTCCATCAGTGCCAAGAACCAGCCTTGGCGAGGGGTTCTGGGGAAGGGGTGTTTGAAATCTATGAAAGAAATGACTTGAAGTCAAATTGTGGGTACAAGCTAATAGCCTCTGTTCTGCTTAAGACAGCTTTCTCTGGAGATCGCCAGACAGCTTATCCAAATAGCTCAGCTCTCACAGACCAAAGCCAGTCTTTTATTTACATATCATTTCAACCCTTCACCCCAGGTTCCCTTTTGATTAGCCCACTAATCAGAATTTTTTGACCTTAGACCCTTGACTCCTAGGAAAAGACAGCAAGCATATTTTTCTTAACATTGCAAATAAATTCAGAGACCTACCTGCCTTTGTAAGCACAGACAATAAGCTAGCTGGGTGGGATCCAGCTTTGAGATAACTGTTCCCACTATGCCTGGGCGTTAAATTAGCTCTGTCCCAGGCTGACCTTGAACTCTGGAATCTGCCTGCTTTTGTAAGCACAAAAAATAAACTTAGCTGGGTAGGATCTTGCCCTGTGATCACCACCCCCCAAATCTCTTCATCTCCTTCCTTAATATCTTTCTGACAAGTTGTCTCCTAGTGGAACTGTCCCTGTTCCTTTAGGTCTGTGAAGCCCCTCATATAATTCATATTGCATCTTTATATTTTGCAGAGTTGAGAAATCCTGTTTATATATTTTAAACTCATGTTTTTAGAGTTATTTTCCACAGCCTTAAGGGCTTTCCTGAAATTCTCTTCATTTACCATTTTTGCTAAGGACATAGACACATCCTCGCTTCCTGGACTCGTGCTGTCTCTGATTATCATGGAGTCATTAACCTTGTCATTGAGAATATTTTCTGATAACCATGGCAGGCAGAATATTTTCTGATAACCTTGACAGGGAGACTATTTCCTGAAGGAGGAACATGAATATATATAGGTGTGTGTGTGTGTGTGTGTGTGTATGTGTGTGTATTATACAAACAATCCTTACACTTAGCAACCTTCAACATTCATGGAGGCCCATGCCCTACTGGTTCTGTTCCAGGGGAAGAATCCATGTCAAGCCCTTTCTTCCATGACCAAGTAGGACTCAGCATGTCAGGACAGGAAGATGAACAAAAGCTGTTGCAAGAGGAGGAAACACCCGCAGAGAGACATGTGAGTGTCCACCAAGGCCACTGCTGAGGCCCAGTTTCAACTATCTCTTACTGGGTAGCAAATTACCCCAAAGTACAAGCATAGATGATCTATTTAGTTAGTTTTATCTTGAGATAGGGTCCTGTTATGTAGCCTAGGCTAGCGTAGACCTTGCTAAGTAGCTTAGGATGACTTCATATTTGATCTTTCTGCCTCAGTCTCCCAAAGACTAATCATAAGCTCATGCCACCATGCCTAGTCCATGATGTGTTGTTTCTTCTAATAAGTCTGTGAGTTGACTGGACAGTCATTCTTCACCTACTTGAGGTCATTCAGTGCTACTGGGAGGGGTTTTAACATTAGTGCCTGTATTCTCTTCTATGATTTCTCTCTAAGTAATTTATTGATGCTTAACAACAAACCAGTCATTTTCTGTCTTTTAAGAACACATTTTATTTTATGTGTATGTCCATTGCTAAAGATAGAGGGGGAGAGAGAGGAGAGAGAGAGAGACTGAGAAACAGAGAGACAGACAGAGACTGAGAGGAGAGGAGAAGAGAAGAGAGGAGAAAGTGAATGTGTATCATGGATGTACAGTGCTGGCAAGCCACAAGAGAGCATCAGATCACCTGGGATTTGAATTGGAATTGTGGGTAGATGTTTGCTTCCTGATGTAGTTGCTGGGGACTAAACTCTACCACAACAACAATTTCTCTTAACTGCTGAGCTATCCCTCTAGCCTGCATTTTTCTTTAATTATTAATCATTTTTTCTAGTTGCTTCTTAAGTGATCAACTTAGAGCTGAAACAGTGTTACTTCTTACACGGTTTATTGCTTGAAGAAGTCGCCATTTCACTTAAATTCCCAGGTGTAAGAATAGACAATGTCTCTTGATGAGAGCAGTGGCTGTTCTGGCAGCCATCTCTGGAGGCTGGGTTCCTTTAGTTGACTTCTGGGAATGGGGAGAAGTGGACCTTGGTTTCATCTGGTTGGTCTGGAAAGCAGAACGTGTATGAGATGGGCTTGCTTTCAGTTCTAGGAAGTGGATCTTTATCCTGTCTTAGATGTTAATTTCCCCAAGATAAGTGTGTTTTAGAAAACTCTTTTAGTTTGCTAAGGTCTAGATTCACATTTCTTCTGCTTACCCCACTGAATTTTAGGTTCCCTTAGATGAGGTGTATGAGTTTGGCAGCTACTACACAGACTACTACACCAGTCCAGAGGGTAAGTGAAGCAGTCTTAATAAGTGCCCGAGGATGGAGAGAGCTGACCCTGTGCCTGTGACCCTGGGTGACTGACTTTTCAGGAATAGGGTCTGGTTTCTAAGTGTGAGCACAGCCCTTATCCTCTGGAGAGGTCCTCAAGAGACTCTGGTCTTTCCTGAAATGCTGCTTGTTACAGTCATTTGGAAGAAATCTGCCAAACAATTAATGGTTGGGTCTTCTTTTAGGTGCTGCCTTATATGAAACAATTTACCAGGACCTTGATGAATACAAAGAGACTGAGGCGGGAGTTGAGGGTTCCAGCAAAGACAGCAGCCCCAAGAACCTTTCTAGAGTTGTGAACAGCATGGGCTGGAACCCTGAGCTCAGATTGCTGAGGATTCTGCAGGCCACTGAGGAGGAAGACAAGGAAAGTCATCATTCCAAGGCACAGAGTGAGGCATCTCTAGAAGCTTAGCTCAAGTCATCACTTGGGGCAGCCTTAGCCAGAAGAGTTCTTGGTATTCTGAGGACAACAACCTTAGACACAGGGAAGAAAAGAGAGAATGTTGTTCTCTGGATCCTCCATCAGGACCAGGCCCTAGACACTCTGTATTCTTCATTTACTTTTTACCTCCAAAATGAGTGAGAAAAAGCCCTAATCCCATGGAATATAGGCAGCTTTTCCACAATTAAACACAGCCCCTTCTAGCAAAGACTCTTTCTCTGTTTCCAGGAAGAGAGGAGGTAGCACTTGCTCATGTCTGGTTTTTTGTTGTTGTTGTTGTTGGGTTTTTTTTGGGTCCCCTTTATCTCTTTTCAGAAGTGTTTGCAGTGCTAAGAAGCTGGGTTCAGCTTATGAGAACCTCCACAATATCCCTAAATGCTCCTCAGTCCCTGGAGATCGTTCTCTTTGGCAACGGGGCCTGCACCATTATTGAGTGATAATCGCTGTGTAGTATTCCCACCTAAAAGTACATTATTTAAAGAATAATAGTAATTATTTAAAGAATAATATTTACCTTATCCACAAATAATTCAATATGTATCTCTAAAGAAAAGCACTAAAAATCTAAAAATTATTTCATTCTACAGAATTAATACTGATTGCTTGATTTAAAATATCCAAGCATATTTAAATTTCCATGTGTCACTAAGGTTTTTTGTTTGTTTATAGTCGACATAGTCACATTAGAATTCAAACAAGGTCCATCAACATCCACTTGTTCCATATGCTCTGTTCTCTTTTAATCTGTACATCCTTCTCCTTCTTTCTTCTTCTTTTCCTAGAATTCATACCAACTCTGAAGAGCTTAGCTTTCCAGTTTGTAAGAAATCTAGTCTGGAGGGGAATTTCAATGTTCCCAAAGACCCAGAATTTCAGAGTCTCAGGAGCCTCCTAACTTTGTTTTAGATGGATTCCGCCCCTCTCCCATCATGTTTTAGTCCTTTAAAAAACTTTTAACAGGGTGGTGTTGGCCCATGCCTTTAATCCTAGCATTCAGGAGGCAGAGGCAGGTGGATCTCTGAGTTTGAGGCTACAGATTGAGTTCCAGGACAGCCAGGGCTACACAGAGAAACCCTGTCTCAAAAAAACAAAAAACTAAATGAAACCAAACAAAAACAAAAAAATTTCTGAAATCTTTTAGCTGATAAAAATTTGAAGTTGCATAAAAAAGTAAAGGAAATATAATATAATAAATATAATATTGTATAATATAATATAGCAAAATTCTAAAGTTCATACTACCTGGGGCATTGTTAAGAAAGGCCCTTGGCTGGGTTGGATCGCATAGGTTAGAAAGAGACCTACTGTTGTTTTGTTTTTCTAGCTAATGTTGTTCTTAATGGAAGGAGAAGTCTATAAGGCGTAGGATAAGCATACCTTCTTTTTAAAATGTAATTCTTTAAGAACTTTATAATACACACAATGTACTTTGATCATATTAGCCCCCGTGTCTCCCAAGCATACCTTCTTGAAGTCTCATTTCTTCTTTCGTATTTGACTACTGACATCTGGAGCTCTAGAATTCCCTGACTAAATGCTCTCTCACATTCGCCTCCATGGCCCCTGCATGGCTCTTTCATGAGACTGTCATCTAAATGTGTGCTGCTGGGTTTGAGGTGGTTAAGGAAGGGCTAGTTAGCGGGGATGCATCCAGAGCTTGGGCGTGGGGGTTGGAATATCTGCAGGTGGGACTTACCTGATCACAGTGGGAGCTGGAGACATGAAGGATGGACAGTGAACTTAGATTGCACTGGATGTCAGGTGTGGTATCTCAAGGAATCTATCTGCAAGGCTGAGTGACAATGGACTTCCAGTTCATGAGGATATACTGGTGTCTTAGTTACTTTTCTACTGCTTTGACAAGACACCACTACCAAGGCAATTTATAAAACAAAGTGTTTAATTTACTCTCAGGGTTTCAGGGGCTTAAAATCCATGATAGTAGAGTGAAGACATGGCAGTAGGAACCACTGAGAGCTTACATCTTGGTCTGAGAGTATGAGAGAGAGGAGAGAGCATCGGGATTAGTGCAAGTCCTTTGAAGCCTCAAAGCCAGATCTCTTTCCACAAGGCCACACCTCCTAATCCTTCCCAAACAGTTCCACCAACTGGGTGGCAAATATTCAAATGTATGGGCCTATAGGGGCTATTCTCATTCAAACAACCACAAATAGTCAAGTAGGAAAAGAGTATGTGGTATCTTCATTTATAATTCTTAAATGCTGTAATAAGGAGGATTTGGGGTAGGTAGAATGGCTGAGTATGTGAAAGTACCTGCAGTGCAAGGCTGAAGACCCAAGCTTCATCCTCGGTTCCCATGTCCTCCTTGTGTATGACATCGCTCATACCTGCCCCCACACACATCTACAACACACAAATTAAATAAAATTTAAGAAAAAATTTGTACATATTGTCTGGTAGTGGTTTTAAGGGGGGGGGATTTAAACCCACAGTTTTAAAGGTGAGGACCTGGAGCCAGAAGGGTGGATGTGACCTGAATGAGATTGTCAACTGGGAGTGATGGAACTGGGCAAGACTCTAGGTCTTCTAGTGCAAGGTCGTATCTTTTCACCTCTGCTTCTCTTCCTTCATCCTCCAGTCCATGTCCCACTGTCCATCACCAAGTTCACCCGGCGCCTGACTTGTCCCTCATCCCAGTAGGTTACCTGTCTTCCTTTGTGATCGATCAGAGTGAGTTCCGGGGATGGCAACCCCTATTTGGAGGTCACTCTTATTTCATTTCTATTCCCTCCTTTCACTAGATTATTAAAGAAAGATTCATTTTATTCACAAGTACTTCAATATATGTCTCTAAAAGAGAAGCATTAAAAAAATCCAAAAAATTATTTCATTCTGCAAAAATTAATACTGATTGCTTACATGCAGGCAAGACACCAATGCACATAAAATAAAAAATAAACAATTTTTAAAAAGGAAATAAATACACCTGTGTGTGTGTGTGGTGTGTTTGTGTGTGCACGCACGCGCGCCCACATGTGGCACTTGTGTATTGGTTTGTGAGATTTGGTTTGTGTAAAAGTTTGTGAGATTTGGTTCTCTCCCTCACTATGAGGGGCTCTGGGTTCAAACGTGAGTTGTCACAGTTGGCAGCAAGTGCCTTTACCCACTGGGCTATCTTGCTTGCCCACTTTTGAATATTTTCTTGAAAAAAAAGTTTCTCCCTCCTCTTTTTCTAAAATGTTTATTTAGTTCATTCCATGTCTATAGTGTTTTGCCTACAAGGGTATATATGTACCATGTGCATGCCTGGTGCCCACTGAGGTCAGAAGAGGGAATCAGATCCTGTGGAAATGGAGTAACCATGTGGGTGCCAAAACCTGGGATTTTTTTTAAAAAAAAGATTTATTTTATTTATTGTATATGTATGCATACTCTATCCGCATGTACACTTGTGACCTGGATGCCAGAAGAGGGTATCAGACCCCATTATAGATGGTCATAAGCCACTATGTGGTGACTGAGAATTAAACTCAGGTCCTCTGGAAGAACATCTAGCACTCCCAACCACTGAACCATCTCTCCAGCCCCCCTTTTTATAAGAAAACAGTGCCCTTAACCGTTGATCCATCTGGCCTGTAGAATAAGTGTCTCTTTGGTGTATTACTCTATGATATTCTCAAAGACTCACTAGAGAACTGTGGAGCTCCTTAGATCCTGTGTCACCGAGAAACTCTGGGCCAAGTCAGATCTTTGAAGAGAAGCTTTCCCTCATCAATTATTTCCTTACTCTAAGTACAGTTTGATTAGAAGAATGGATCAAACATACTCTCAAAGCAGATCAAAGAAGAAAGCCAAATCTTCCGCCTCCCACTCTTTCCTTCAACACTGCATGACATCACTGTGTTACTAGCTTGAGCTATATTTAGCTGAACTTTCACAGCAGAAGAAATCAAAGAGCTGTTAAGTGGGCTGTTTTCCTGAAAATAGCTAGTTCTTGAGTGTATATTGTAGAATGTTTTCTTTGTGGGATGGATTTTATTACTGTTTCCACTTTTTAGCCTACCTCAAGACTTATCACCAGGCACAACCCAATTTCCAGGGGTGAGGAGTGGGGGACGGGGTGGGACTCATTTTTACTTAATTTTACTTAACATTCAGACCCAGAATAGAAGACCTAATATTTGTGGGTCTTGTTTGGTTTTTGTCTTGTTTTTCAAGACAGAGTTTCTTCATACAGCCATGGCTGTCCTGGAACTCACTCTGTAGACCAGGCTGGCTTTGAACTCAGAGATCTGCCTGCCCCTGCTTCTTGAGTGCTGGGATTAAAGGCACTGCACCACCACGGCCTGGCTTAGGTCTAATTATTTTATAACTAACCCAACTACTTGGCGAAACAACCCTCAGACTTTATAGTCTAAAAAAATTGTGTATGTGTGTGTTTGTGTGTGTGAATGCAGATGCTGTGGACATCTGGAGGTCAGAGGACAAGCTGTGGGAGCTGATTCTTGCCTTCAACCTTGTAGAGTTAAGGTTTCCCTTGTTTCTGCCACTCTGGAGAATGTCTGATGAGCTGGCCCCTGAGATTTCAGGCTCCCCTCTCTCCTCCTCACAGTAAGAATGCCCAGACCACAGATGCACACTACTGTGCTTTTTATGTGAGTTCTGGGGAATGAACTCAGGTCATCAAGCTTGTGTGACAAGTGCTTTTTATCTGCCGAGCCACACCTCCTGGCTCCTAGAATATTCCTTTAACTCCTCCTGATGAGTGGAAAGTTACCGTTTGAATCACAACATTTTGAGTTAGAAGATGCTTATTGTCACACTGGCCTTCTCTTTTCAAAGGTGGAAAACCTGTTTTCAGTCTGGAGCCCATTTCATTCCTTTCATATCCAGTCCTCAAAGGAGGAGAATTGCAGAGAGAATCTTGGATCACATGCTATATGTAAGCCATGTAGCACGCCTGCTTTGATGATGGGTGAACATCCCACATACTATTTTGGGTGGTTCTTTGGCCAATTCTGTGGATAGATGTGGGTTGCCTTCATTTTATAGACAAGGTTCAGAATATGGGGCTGATGTGAGGTAGATGAAGGAATTTACTCAAGATTGAAGGCCAAGAAGAAAAGAAGAGCCGGGTTTAGCACTGAAAGATGTCCTTTGTATCTGGGCCATTCTCCGACTTCCTCATTAAAAAAATATTTTAAATGAGCTATTTTATGTATGGATGT